CGTCCGAGGAAACGTGGACAGAAAAGACTCTGTGACAACGAGAGGTTTGTGAGTGTATTTTAATATTAGAAAGACAACAATATTCTCTGAAAAATGGAAATGTTACGGGGTTTTTTTTCAGTTACATTTTTTTGTAAGAATAAACAGGAAAAAGTCTGTTAAATAACAGGGTTTTTTTTGTTTGTTGTTTTTTTTACAGTGTTCGTCGTCACCGTCTGAATCAGAAAATCAGAGATAAAAACGGTGTCATCAGCAAAATGCATCATCATGCAACAGCAAGAGAAAAAAAAAACAGATGATCACAACCATGTTCCACTACAGCAGGATACACCCTGGGCTTTTACACACACTCTTCAGAGCACACACACACACACACACACACACACACACACACACTGTGTCTCAACATTTTTCAAGCCGACTCTGAAAAAAAGCCTGGACTGTCCCTTTAAGTACTGTACAGTAGAAGAGTACTCCGACATGTACAGGTTTTTAAATGGAAGCTCTGGGAAATTCAGTCTTCCAGTTTCCTGTTTCCTGTTTCCTGTTTCCTGTTTTTCTGAACATCCAACTATTTTATTTCACAGAAGTTAAAGCTCAAAGTGAACAGTTCTGTGGTTTTTTAATTAGACAAGGCATCGATCCAGTGATGAACCCGTCTGATGGTTACGTTAAAGTGAATGTGAGTGTGTACCACTGCTGTAATGTTTGAACGATAACAAGCCTCCAGCCACTAGGTGGCAGCAACGCATACAGTGGTTTGTACAGATAAAAATATACGTTATCAGGTCGTCAATAGGATTTCACTTCGAGGAGGTTATGGGGCGGAGTCAGATACATATGTTCATGCTAACCGATGTGTTGAGCTAACCGATATGTTGAGCTAACCGATGCGTTGAGCTAACCGATGTGTTGAGCTAACCGATATGTTGAGCTAACCGATGCGTTGAGCTAACCGATGTGTTGAGCTAACCGATATGTTGAGCTAACCGATGCGTTGAGCTAACCGATGTGTTGAGCTAACCGATATGTTGAGCTAACCGATGCGTTGAGCTAACCGATGCGTTGAGCTAACCGATGCGTTGAGCTAACCGATGCGTTGAGCTAACCGATGCGTTGAGCTAACCGATGCGTTGAGCTAACCGATGTGTTGACACTGAGTGATAACATGGACGGATGTGGAAACACTGGAAACATCAGAAAGACGACTGTCCATCGGACAAAAACCACAGGAAGTTCATCGAGCAAGAAAACTCCACAGATGCTTAAAAATAAGTCCAAGATTTATAAGAGAAAAAATTTCAGGCAGAAACACTTCATTGGTCGGGAAGGCAGAGAAGAAGACGAGGAGGTTTGAAGGAGCGACGGAGAGGCTGAAGGAAGTCGTAGGAAAGAAAGAAAGAAAAAGAAAACAACGAACATACGTGCACACACACCCGTTACATTACTCAGTGGTGGCTGACGGTCCGAGGCAGCTCATTGGTCAGAACGTGCCAGTGCTCCACCTGCTGGCCAGGATTCTTCAGGCAGTCCATCCAGTGACGAAGGGCGTCGCCCTGAGAGTGAGAACTCAGACAAATACCACCTGTAAAAAAATGAGGTCCAATGAGAGATTAAAGCTCTAACGCAGGGAAAAGAAGAAAGGTTTGGCGGGCCGGATTAAAAAAAAGCAGAACGGGCCACATCCGGCCCCCGGGCCTTAGTTTGCCCAACCCTGATCTAACATCTAACAGTGGAGCTTTGTCACTGGAGTGAAAAAAAGAGGCCTGGAGTGACCGTTTGATTCTCACCGATGAAGTCGTTGGACCGTCCCAGGTCGTAGTCCCACACCGTCACCTCCAGGGTCTTCTGAGTCAGTTCTGGCAGAGAGATCGGATAGAAAAACTCCTGCAGCAGGAAAGACGCCGTGAGAGAAGAAGAACGACGTCAGTGGAACAGAATCAAAGACTGACGTCCTAACAACTTTCAATTAAACTTTCCGTTGAAAATCTTAAAAACCGACGTCGTCGTTTCGTTTTCTGTTGTATTCTTTATTCCAACCTGGATGTTGACAAAATTGCCAGAACGCTGCAGCGCCCTCACCTGGTTGAATTCAGGATTAAGAGTTTTCTTTATCACCGCCGTTTTGTGTTTGGACTTTTTCTCACTGTCAGGTTTAAGATATCTGAAAAAAACAAACAACAACAACAACAACAACAAATCAAATCCAAGGGAAGAGAAAGTGGTCAGAACCGGTTGGACGTTGAAGTCAAGATAATCCAGAATTTAAGGCCAGATTAGACATGTTCAGTTGGAGTCACGACGTCAGTCAGGAGTTAGAGACAAAGTGCTTGTCATTTATGACAGATTTTTCATCCTAAAATATAAAATTTTCAAGATGAATTTCTGCTATTTTTTCAGAAACCAATTAGAGCCTCTGATGTTGGCGGACGACACCGTGGTGTCAGTTTGTTCGTCTCCAGTTAAAGACGTTCATTAAAACGGCCGTGACGTCCGTGACAACAGAACTTTTCAGTCTGTCATCACAGGAAACTCTCACAGAAAAAAACGTCTTCAACAAATTCTTTCAGTTATTTTAAAAAAGCCTCAGTGTTCGTTTCAGCTCAGGTTCTGTGACTGTGGTCCACTCAGAGGACAGGTTGACAACAACATCACAGTCACAACGCCCGGTCCGTCAGACCCGAACCCTCCAACATCGACTTCAAATATCAGACGAAGAACTCGTACATTTTGACGTAAGGGTCTGAGAACCCGTTGACGTCCATGGCTGCCAGGTGAGCGCAGCGCTTCACGCCCACGCAGAGTCCACCGCTGAGACAACCTTCACCTCCTTGTCCACCTCCTTTGACGTCTCCGTCCTCAAAAGTCAGCGGCAGCCGATAGTGCAGGGACAGCAGGAGGCGCCCCCTTTCTTCCAGGCTGTGCAACTGCTCAAACTCCCACTGTGGACACGGGACGCACAGTCAGAGGACAGAGGAGACAAATAACGGAAGAAGACGGAGGACGGCTGGAGGACAGAGGACGCACTTCTCTCACGTAACAGGAGATCCCTCTCAGGGCCTCGCCCATGGCTGTGGGGGACGGAATCTAAGGCAGAGAAGACCACAGAGGTCAGGTCGCTGTGATGATGTCACAGTGATGTCACAGTGTCATGTGATCAGTGAGGAGGAGGCGTGTTACCGGCGGAGGATGCTCCAGACACGTGTGGAAGTGTTTGGTCTGGTCTGGTCTGATCCGTTTGAGTGGAACCCGAGATTCTCCGATTAACTCGTTGTGAGTCAACTTGTCCTCGTCGCACACTGACAACCTGAGGGTGAGGGGACGGAGGGGACGGAGGGGACGGAGGAGACGGGGGAGGAGAAAAGGTCAGAAGGAGTCATTTCTTCAATTTCTTCTCTAATATAAAGAGAAAGTGGTTTTTATTTTTAGCACCACCTTGTTCGAAGTCACCGTAGTGACACTAACTGACCACAGGGGGCAGCAGTGGGACCACCAGCTCTGTTTTTCCTCTTCAGACGTTGGTGTGGGACAGTGAGTGGTTTATTTTCAGACTTAACAGTGAGATACAGATGTGGACAGATTCTTAACACACACACACACACACAGACACACACAGACACACACACACAGACACACACCTCAGCGTCTTCCTGTGCATGTCTTCTTCTGTGACTCCAACATAGGTCAGTGTTTCGTTCCACACTGGATTCAGAGAATTATGTATGGTCCTCGTTTTCAGCTTGTTGGCCTGAGAAAACACACACACACACACTCACGTTAAACAGCACTTCAGGTGCAGATGAACCATGTGACCAGCAGGTGGCAGCAGCAGCAGCAGCAGCTAGCACTTCAGGTGCAGAAGAACCATGTGACCAGCAGGTGGACGCGGCAGCAGCAGCAGCTCACCTTACAGGCTCCGGGCAGCAGGTGGAGTTTGACGTAGGGATCAGAGAGACCGTTGAAGTCCATGGACTTCAGACCCTGAGGAGAAACAAGAACCTCAGACTGAGCCAGACCTGATCACAGACCAGAACCTCAGACGGACCCAGACCTGATCACAGACCAGAACTGAACTCCACACAACTGTACTGTAGCCCAACCTACGGCCCCCGACCTTTTTTTGTACCCGGGACCAGCTGTGCAGTACCAGCCGTCTCCACCGGCAGCGCTGTACCAATCATTGAAGATTGTTTTATTCTCAAAATAAAATGGATCTGAGTCTAAAAGAGGTGAATTTTGGATGATAGATTAAATGGAAATTATTTTTTTAATTCTTTCACTGCAAACTGGGCCTAAACAGAAAATACAAATAGAATTTGCATCAACACCAGCAGATTTATTCAGCGGGAGCCGAAAATCGCTGATTTTTTTTTTTTTACAGACTTTGATCTTTGAGCTCAAACCTTTTTTTTTTTTTTAGAGTTCCTTTTTTTTTCTTTAGTTACACTTATAGTTGTATGTGTATGTGTGTGTGTGTGTGTGTGTGTGTGTGTGTGTCATTCTCCATCTGTTCCATCACTAATTAGAAAAAAATCATCTGCGTTCTGTTAAATGTCAAAGCTATTGAAATATATTTAGCAGCGGTTCATCCTGAGGAGGGCGACGGTGAGGGGGTCGACGCCAATCTTCTTCTCCAGGTATTTTTCTTTTTTTTTCATCTCAATCAAGAAAAGGTTGAGCAGCGAAAAGGTCAGAGTGACAGAGTAAAGGTCAAGGTTTGACCTCTGACGTGGGAGAGTCAAACGTCCCACCTGACGTTTCACCTCCAGCAGGTGTCACGCATCTTAAGCGATATAGTGTATTACACTGATCCAAAGATAGGGGGCGTGTCCTACCTTGGCCCGCAGCACGGTGCAGTGGAGTTTGTTGGAGCTCTGCTCATAATGCAGCTGGAACTCCAGAGTTCCCAGAGCGGCTGAGGAACAAGACAGAGTTAGGTCACATGACCAGAGAGAGAGAGAGAGAGAGAGAGAGAGAGAGAGAGACAGAGAGAAACAGAGAGAGACAGAGAGAGAGAGACGTGTTGACGGCTGCAGGAGTCGGATGTCAATTAATTCAATTAAAAATGTCATCGACAAAGAGCTGGAGTTTGATTGGTTCGTCTGCCGTCTGACAGAATCAGAGTAGGAGCAGTCGGCTACACACACACACACACACACACACACACACTGATATTCTAAGGTTATATAAGCAGATCAGAGGTACAGTATGAATCACACAGATTATAGCTTTATTTAGAACGTGGATCAACAAAACACACACACACACACACACACACACACACACACACCTAATTGGCTAAAGGCTAACTTGGTAATAGCTAATTAACCTATGGCTAACTGGTTGCTAACAGGTTAGCTTCTGCCAACACTCACTGCAGTCGTCACTGTCCGAACTGTTCGTCTCCACCGACGCCTCCACGCTGCTGCTCTGGGAGAACGAGCCGCCGCCCCTGGCGGCGCCCCCGCCCCTGCGGCGGGCGAAGGGGGGGGCAAGGCGCGCCGCCCCCC